AAAACAATGTGTTTGAGAGGAAGTGTAACATTTCCAAAATACATGTATCTACCCCCAATGTCATTTAAATTACATTTAAATCATTTCCTCCATATGAATAAACTGTATTACCATTTGGATTGGCCATTCCTTCTTTTATACTGATACAGCCCAGAAAGTAGGAAGTAGAATCTCAGTGATATCTATGATCCCAGGACACATGCTGTGAAATGAATTAAGCAAGTACAAATTTCCTAAATTAGAAGTATTAAGATGAGGCAGTAAAGGATTGGGATTGGAAGTATGGGATTGGAAGGAGTAACTAACTCCTCAGTGCTAATCCAGGCTGCCATGAACTGTCTGTAACTTTTGAAAGGCCCTTGAGCTCTGCTTTAGTTTACTGATCTACAAAATAGGTGTAATGTGCTTCCTTTCTGCCAATAGGTCTCATTTAAGAGAAGGAGACTCTGGGATTGTTTTGAAGGAGTGATGGTTGGAGAAGTCGTGTTGCCTCGTGCCAGCTCTGGGCATGGCAGGCATCAGAACTATACTGTACTTGCATTAGACACTGCTGATGTTTTAGACAGCGTAGTGTCTCCTCCCTCATACAGTTGCAGTACTAGAGTTGCTTCGTGGCATTAATTGCTAGGAGCTTTCACCACTACAGGACCTGAAAATTGTTAATGAAGTTACAACTGCAGCTGTCCCCCAAGTTCCTGCTTTCTGCTGCTACTAAATGCTCAGCCAGTGCATCACTCATGACTGAACTACAACTGGTGTTATTGCCCTTTGGCAAACCCATGGCACCTGGGAGAAACCTTATAGCTAAAGCAGTGAACAGCTGGGATTGGTCTGCAGTTCCAGTGGCTATCAACAGAGCCCACCAGCTCTGCAAAGGCAGCTGTCTGTTCTCATGAGGGATTCCATTCTCTAGCCCTTGGGAGGGGAGAGGCTGGGAGGGGAAGACGGGGGGGAAAGGTAGCAGGACCCAGGGCAACACATGCCCCTACTCTTTAGCCCTTGCACTGCTTCCAGTCTCTTGGAGAGGGGTAGGGAAGGAGATTCAAGAAGGGAAGAAGCAGAGCCTGGAAGAAGAATGTGCTGGGGTAGTAGTGGGGTGGAAGAAGCAAGGCAGGGGCTGTGCCTGCTCTACACTTTTTTGGGGGGGGGAAGTACATTTCCTCTGTCCTAGTTTCTTTTGTGTATTTCTCAATGAGGTTCCTGAAATGCACCTGAGGGGCCAGGGTCAGCCCCCACTAAAGGGGTTACAGATCAGATGACCTCTCCTGGCTTTTTGCATCTTGATTTTGGACTTGCAGGAGTGGAAGTGCCATTACTTCCTGTTAAGCGGTAAGGGGTAACCAGATGGTTATGACCACAGCCTTTACCTTTTGGTCTTAAGGGTGTCAAGAGTGTGGCCTTGCTATGAAGGGGATCCTTGTCCACAACTTGGTAGCTAGAATATTA